GGCGGTGGGCGGGAGCGGCCCCGGCGCCTGGGTCTCAGGGACGGTGGTGTCTTTCTCTTGCAGGAGTCGCTCTATTCCCTCGCTCTGAAATGCCTTATTAGCCTCTCCACGATTATCCTGCTCGGGCTCATCGTCGTGTACCATGCAAGGGAAATCCAGGTAACGTCTCCTTCTGTGGGTCAGTGAGCGCTGCTGGCATGGCTGGGGGTGCGAGGCAGGTTGTCTGAGGGCACAGCGGTGGTAAGTCCTTGGCACTTTCCGCCGGTTCAGAAAGCAAAAGTGGTCTCTGCGCACCTGCCGAAGTTGGTGAATGGACCTCAGCCCTGGAGAGAAGCACGGCGGGCGAATACGTGCCAGGAAGCTCTGCCTTCTAGGGACTGTTGCCTGTAGTTATGCCATCTGATTGCTTAACCCAGAGGTTGTAACACGTTTTCTTAGTGACATCGTTGCTGTCTTCTGTGGCAGATGTACAGCAACAGTCATATTTTCCCAATGACTAAATTTCATGCTGTGCATTTTCTCTTGACAGCAAGGTTAATTGTCTTCACTGTGTGAGGTATGTAATCTTCACTGCACTGTCTCAGATACAAGCATACTCTGGCAGAATGTTTAAGAGAAGGGGGAAGGCTTATATTCAACTTGTTTTGTTTAATGCTGCACAGCCCCTGGGAATGTGGCAGAGGAAAACTGTGAAGAAAGATAGGGATCAAAGCTGTAGAGTAAGTCTCACAAACACTGTCACAGGTTCTGTCCAAGGGTCTTAATTCTAATTTCAGTTGTCATTTTTTTGACCAAGAAATTAAAATTTGTCATTTCAGCTTAGCTGAAACATGAAACAGATAGATTTCAAAGTTTTGAAAGAAAAATACCTTACTCATAGATACATGGATGCTTTTGCTCTAGTGGTACCTTGAGCTACAAGCTGAAAGGACACCTGTCAAGGGCAAAGAAGACTTTTCCACTTGTACCAATCAGTAAAAATTAAAAAAAAAAAAAAGAATTGTATAGTACCCTGCTTCTGTGCAAATGAATGCTGTAGTTTCAGTATGAAATGGTACCATAGTCTCCTACTTAACGTAATGTAAGAGAAGTATTATGTTACTGAATACTCTTTGCCAAATTGGATCCTGTTGTGCAGTTCTTGCCCATGTAAAACTTCTATTCCTGGCTCAGAACCCAGTTTCTCTGCATTAATATCAAAGATAATTGAAAGCTGTTTAATGATATTTTACTCAATAAACAAGTGTTCTGGTGAAAGAGTATCTTTATAAACTACTGGAGTGCTGATGAAGAGATTTCTTCATCTGCACAAAAATAATTAAGTGGCACTGCTACAATGTGGGAGCCTTCTTCTCTGGTGTATCTTCCCACAAGTGGTGCCTGAGGCATAAAGAGCAAAACTGAAAAAAACTCTGTAATCATTTGAATTACTCTGTGCATTTTCCAGAAACTCTAAATGGAAAATTTTATGTGAGATAACCAAAGAATTGTAGGTCCCTGTGTGCATCAACTCATACTAAATAGTCACTCCAAGATTTGGTTGTTTGTTTTTTTTTCAGGTAGAGTTACAAATTTTCATTCCCTTAGGAATGTGTTACAGATCAGAAAAAAACTGTTTCAAAAACCTGAAGTTGTAATTCTTGTTTTTATTGATAATTTTAAAGAACTTCCTCATGTATGCAACTACATGGAAGGAGTTATGCAATCGTGTGACTTAATCAAGGTTAATGTAATTTTCAGTGCTGCCTGACAGTACAGAACACGAGTACCCTGTTTTAGTCTGAGAGACACCAAAAACTGCAGTAGTTATGACATGGCCTGGAGTGAGCTGCAGCTTCAAGGAGCTCTGTCATTCATGTTGAAAACGAAAAGTTCTCCTTTTCAAGGAAAGGGCATATACCACCCTTAGCTATTACATATCTGATAGCTTTTTAATCTAGCTGTAGTTGGGTTTTGTACACACAATTCACTCTTTACCTGTAGAGCAAAAATTACATCCATCTAGTAATAAATTTATGTTACACTTGACATCTGAAAACAAGAAGTACCTTTAAAGTACTTTGGCGTAGGAACATACAGAAGCTTTTCCAGGCAAAGGAAAATATGGCATAACCCTGATAATGTAATGATTTAAAAATAATCTTTACAGCTGACTGTTTTCTGAGGCACACGTGCCTTTAATTCAAGCAAATTTTATGCTGTGTGCAGTAGAATGAATCATGTCTGTAGAACCATGCCCACAGATGGTTAGTTGTGTCCTGGAGGACTCTTTGCACCAGCTATTTGTCAATCTTATTCAAATTTGAACATTCCTTTCTTGTCCGAAGCATACGTAGACTTTACTATTGGGTATAGTATAAATAAGCAGGAATTCACTGAGAGGAGAAAAATTGTTCTGTAGAACAGAAGGTCAGTGTATTCAGCTTGCAGTGTGGTATCTTTCGTACTATGGTGGAAGCAAACCAACCTAAACATAAGTAGGTTTTTCTACAAAGCATGGGACAAAACATACTGGGGAAAAAAAAAGCTGACAGTTTACTAATTAATACTGATTGCAGATTTAATATTTAGAAACTCCTGCTGACCTATAATGTCAGGAAATGGAACTCAACTTTTTCCATTCTTTTCAGTAGTCTGTGACCTTGATGTGTTGGTAGGAAGCCCGAACAGCCAAGCTGCAAGCAAGTCTATGGGGCAGTGCCTAGCAGCGTAGCAGGTGACTAGTCTTTCCATTAAAATGACCTTTCGCCTATGTTTTGTTTCGAAAACAGCCAATCAGTTAAACCAAACTCCAGAGTTTGCTGGTCCCAGTCCTGCTGAACATTTTAAGGGAGTTGGAAGGGAAGTTTAGAAAGGCTTGCAGGGATTCTTCCCAAGAGCCAGGAGTGACATGTCGACGTGAAGACAAATGAGTTTTCTTTTTGGCCTGTTCCCCCAGTCAGGCCGTTTGATGTGTGGTGCCAGAGCTGGCGCACCTTCAGTCTCCAGGGGTGTGTGTGTGGGGGGGCGTTTCCCGCCGCCTCCTTTCAGCACCGCAGACAGCTCCGCACGTCGCGCGCCGTCCGGGGCGGCCCGGCGGGGCT